TCTGCTATCTTATTCAGTCACTGTTGTAATCCCTGAATTACTATTGTCTTTATTTATTCGCTTTTGTCTAGAGAAAAATGGCTTCTAAATATTGCAATGAGTCAATAGCACGATGGATTGATCGTGACTCCAAACATCGAAAATCACTTGAACTATAACTATAAAACTATAGAAATAAAGTTTAAAATCAAATTATTCGATCGCCTATTTAGGCAAGTTGCTGCAATGCTTATAAACATCAGCAAACACGACTGGAGAGGGCGCCATCTATGGTCGTCATCAATATCGCATTCGGTGCGGGAGAGTTTCTCTAAACTAGGCGCCGTTCATTTCAACTAACGCATCTCATCGATGCATTTTTTTGTATTTAGCTGAATAGTAATATAATATAAAATATCTTGGCTAAACCAACATAACACACGTCTGTCGGTGACCACTTTTTTCTCGCGTGACGTGGCGCCGTGTGGCAGACGGAACCAATCAATCTCCCCAGGCAGAGTTCTATTACGAATATATCTCTGCCACCACGCGATCTTATGCTTGTCGTTGATTGGTCGATGCGTCACAGTGGTACTACTTTCTGGATGTTTTCACAGTGAGAAGCTCATATTTTTACTTTCCTTAGCACAAACGGAGTGGCAATAGAACGTGTTTGCTGTCAATACCACAAAGTGCTTTCCTTTCTTCATATGTCTTCGCCAAGCGATCGACAGGGCCGTCAGCTTAATGAACCGAGTAACACCTTAGCAACCGTTATTCCGCGATGAAGTTATTTTCTTTTGTAAATTATAACTATTTCACCGTTTTCAGTGTGTTTACGAAAAAATCATTATCAGCTATCGACAAAATAATTTAGAACTTGTTTTCAAGTAGGAATAAATCAACACGAAAGCGATCTAATAACAAAAATACGCAAATGATACGCGTAGTAAAATTCTTGTGGTGTTTCACCGCAAAATGGCGGTGTGTGGTGGCAGAGATACTTTCGGTGATCTAACCGCAAGGAACTCTGGGAAGGAGAATGGGAACCAATCTCCCAGGCAGAGTTCTATTCCACGAATATATCTCTGCCACCACGCGATCTTATGCTTGTCGTTGATTGGTCAATGCGTCACAGCGGTACTACTTTCAAAGTCGCTCACCAAAATATTGCCATGCAAGTGTTCGATTTTCGAACCCGACGAATATGTATCGTTGTTTACAGATTTTGGCTGTTTTCAAAGTTAGAAGCTTCTTTTATTCTTTCTGTAGCACAAATGGTGTGACGGTGGGACGATTTAGTCGTTAATACTACGAAGTTCTTTCGTTTGTTCACATTTCTTCGCATGGCAATCCACAGTACGGTCAGTTTGATTAACCGAGTAACACGATGAAATTATTTTTTTTTGTAAATTATATAACTAATTCACTGTTTTCAGTATGTTTACGAAAAAATCATTATCAGAGATCGATAACATATTTTAAAATTGTTTACTAGGATGAAGAAATCAACACGAGATCCCTCTAATAACAAAAATACGCAAATAATACGCGTAGTAAAAGTCTTGTGGTGTTTCACCACAAAATGGCGGTGTGTGGTGGCAGAGATACTTTCGGTGATCTAATCGCAAGGAACTCTGGGAAGGAGAATGAGCGTCGTAGTGGCGTCAAACATCGCGTGGGATTCGACAAACGAGAAAATATTGGGGGGGGGGGCATTTCCATGCTTAATAATGTGATGTACACATTTGATGATAGACAATTTCTATTAAATGAGGGTATTCGAAAGCAATATTTCTCTGTCGAAGATCGGCCGGTCGATGTGAGTTACGAAATAAAGGAATTCAAGTTCAAAATCAAATCGTTTGATTTTTGCGGCAGACGTTCGAAGCGCGTCTTTCGTGCATCTCGCGAGATCTCGCAGTTGAACGGAAAATCACCTATTGGTGATAACTCCTGGAAGCAATGGAAGATCTTGTACACATATGCTGATAATGTTAAGTTTCTCATCACACACAAACAAGACCATGCCAAACTCTCCCATTAAACACTTATGAACGTGCTTCCAATGCTTGGATCACTTTTGAAAAGTCTTAACGACGTATGGGTTGTGTAGCTGACGCAACAATCACGGCACCCTATTAAATGGAACAATAAAAGGCTGAAACTACTGAGTATCTACTTGGGTAACAATGATAAGTACATGGAGTAAAATTGTAAAGAACTTGTGAAAATGTACAATAAAAATGTCACACAGCAGACATTCACTAATCATTAACAATTTGATTGCGTCGCAGTTTCTACACCGCATCCATGCTTCACTCCTCTACATGATATTATCACAAATATTCAATAAATTCACGACACGATGGAATTAAAGGTACGAATTGACGACCACCTTGGTTGAAAAATTGCATGCATTACAAGCAGTATGCTAACGTCACTTAAAATAACACATGGACATTATATATTGCATGTCAGTAACTTCAAATGACGATGATCTTTATAATAATAGTGATGAAGATGTTTGCAGTTTATTGTGTGGTTGATTAAATTGAATATATAGTCCTCTATGCCTGAGAGTTGCGATTGCGAAGCACGGATATGACTTCTTTTGATGTAAATATTACATGGGACGAAGACCTTAAAATCAAACAATCTGACATTCGAAATATTTGCTTGTCATGAAAATTTATATTTCGAGGACGACTTTAGTAGTCATCGCATGACTGGAATAAACGAGACAACAGGTGACACAGAAACTATCATGTCGTCTATTGGATTAGGTAGATTCAAAGGTAGAATACAAGTAATTCCGTTATGAATTTTTCACACTCAAACGAAGCAAACGGGGAATTGAATCTGATCTAACGTACAGGGTAGTATACAACTATTTAGTGTTTTAGAACAACATATACACCCTGAATTCTTATTGAGATGAATGAGGCAAACGCTGGATTGCTGGATTTCAGTGGCAGCAATAACTATATAACACTATCTGTTATCATCATCCAAATTCATTGCTACAAAGAGCGGAAGAAGGATACTAATAAAAATGTATTCTGAAATATTTACATTTATTTATTCAAGGTACAGAGGCCACTGGCCTATAAATACAAGTAATATATTGTAACTTTTAACATCTAATATAATATATTAATTTACACACATGGTAAGATACACATTTTACTGTACTGTCAAAATCACAATTAAAATGGTTTCAACGTTTTCTCAAACTTCAACATTAATCAAAGCAGATGGGGTAAGTGATTATTAATGGCATTGAGATTAAATTGCTTTTATCGATTCTCGAAAGGGAAGGACCACTCCTCACTTTGTTATATTTGCCGTCAGGTGAGTTTAGTACCTTAATATTAATATTAATCTTGTCAGGGACCAACTTTATCATAGATATAGAACCAGGGTTATATGCAATGCAGTCTTTATTTCATGACACCATGTTTGCAGTATAGCTGTAGTACATCAACTTTTTCTCATGACACACACCACTGGAGTGAAAACAAAATCTATTCTGCATTCAGTATCATCATTTTTTAAAACTACTTCTGACTGTCGATGTTTCAGGAATGGATTGTGAGATGACAACATGCGGAATTTCCGGAGACATACAATGTGACAATGGAGGAACGTGCTACACCGATGCGACAGGACAGTCACTATGCCTATGTACTTACCTATACAGTGGTCCAACATGCTCAAATGGTAAGTGTTTGTCTCAAGGCATCACTGTAATTCATTCGAAGTATTATTTTAACTTGTAGTAGTACATGTAGCACCAACAGACTTGTTACAATTGCGCATAATGTTGACTGTTTTTTTTTTTCAACTTACAGAGTTGATATTTACTCTACCTTCATTCTCTGGTTTTAGCTACTTAGAATATCCTACAGAAATCATTGTCAGGTATTTACATTATATATCAGTTATCAATAGAATTTACAATTTCATATTCATACTCCTATATGACCAACATTTGAACAGGTTACCATTTATTTACCGGTACATCACATTTGAACACTTTTCTTTGTTTTAGTGAATGCAGTTCTGAAGCTATATCTCTGACATTCACTAACTGTTCAGATTCAAATTAACTGTTTTTTCACTGCTATTTTGCAATGAGGAAATAATGTATTACTGTAAAAGTTGAATGTAAAATATAGGAAAAAAGTTATTTGCTAGATTTTGTTTTCACTGACTCATTCTTTCAGTGAAAATAAATTCCAAGTAATAATAA